TGGTCTAATGGTCTATGTCATGGGCTTTCATGTGGGAGATCAGGGTTCAAAACCCAGCTAATGCAACTTTAACAAAAAATCTCTTCAAACTTCATATTGTCACACAATTACCTTAATTACAAACACCTGCTGACGTGACAGACACAAGCTGGTATAGAAAACACATTTGAACTTGGTCAAAGTTCATTCTGCAAGTCCAATGCTGCAGGCAAAGCCATGCTGCAATGACATGCTACATGGCAATGCACACTTGTTTTTACATTGTAAAAACCAATGTCTAGTTGTGATTGCTGTCCTGTGCAAAACACTTAAATAAGAAAATATCCAAACAGAAAGTCAGTACAGATGTTCGTTTTTATTTTCTTGTAGGTGAGCAAAGCACCGATGCTGAATGATGTTGAGAAGTATTGCTGGGCGCCATGGACTGACAGCTGGCATCAAGTCAGGAATTAAGACACATGCTTTAAAACAAGCCATATTCTACTGCGCTAAAATAATTGAAGTATTCATAACTTATCACAGTACATTTATCTAATGTTTTTTTTTTATTTCTCAAAGAACGCAGAGACTAACTGTTAACAGGCAGGTGAATCTCTGCACTGTTACGATCTCTGTGCTTTGGAACAGAAGTTGCCATACTTTCAGAGGCTACAATACTTCAGAAATCCTTCTTTAAAGGTGGTTCTGAAACGTATTTGTTTTTACAGGTGAGTGATTTTTTTTTAATTTCACGTTAAGTTTCTTCCGAGCATGTTTATTACACAGCTGTGAGATATGTTTGACCAAATCCTTATTTTCTCCTTCCTCTGACCTTCTCCCTGGGTTTCAGTCACTCACTCCAGGGTCAGGGTTGGGGTTGGGGGGTAGGATGTTCCTGTATTTTGCAAAGAGGACAAGGGTGACGGAGTACAGGGGTCAGCAGTTTTTAATTAAGACTTTCAAGAACGCATTATACAAGGATCTGTGAGCTGCAATTTATCAAAAATCACAAATGTAAGTATTTTCTTTTAAAAAATTTATTATTGTTACAACTATTGTAGTTTCTTTTTTATCATTTTCAGTCACCGTTAAGCATAAAAATGATTGACAAAGGCCACATATTTTTGCTATATTTTTATTATCACAGCAACTTTTGTAATGTTCAGTTTGGTTGTATTATGTTTGGTATTAATGCCAAACTTTCTTAGCAAGCATAAAAATAACATCTTATGTTGAAGGCCATTTCAAGCTAAATGAGTAATTATTTAACATTTGTATATATTGACGTCAGATCTGTTTGTATAAAACAACAATGTAACATGGCCTCTTTGGGTTGGTGTTGCCTTTAGCAGGGATGAAGGGATGAATTGAGTGTGAGATCACCAGTTGGATTGCTGCATGTTCTGCAGTATTGTGGACTCTGGGCCGGTCCGTTGTAGTGAAGAGGGAACTGAGCGTGAGACGCTCTACCTGTTGGTCTAAATTCCTACCTTCACCTATGGTCTGAACTCTGAGTATTAATGGAAAGAGCAAGATCTTGGTTCCAGGATGCCCAAATGAGTTTTCTCTGCAAGGTAGCTGCATTATCACTAAAGCCTGAAACATACTCACTGTGAACTGCCGATGTCGGCACGGGTTGTCGCAGTTTAATGACAAAAATTACGTCACCGGGCTTCTCAGCGTCGTGTCGACAGCCCCTTTTGGTACAACCCGCCGGCAGAATTTTTTGACCCCCTTCCCGTGTCGACGGTAATRTGTGAYTGGTCTGGAGTTCRTGGGYGTGTTTGTGCTGCGCTCGGGGTGGGGGGGAAGAACGACTCGCTCCCAGACTAGAAAGCAGATTTTTGTAAGATAGTCAAACCGTGAAAAACTAATTGGCTTGTTTGTTTGTGCTGAATGCGCTGCTGCACTTGGTAAAAAAAAGAGGGGAAAATAAACCCTGACTCGCTCCCAGAGCCGACACCAGAAGTAGAGTTTTATAAAGATAGTCATTCCGTGAAAAACTCATGAATGGAGATAAAACAGACGTTGTGCACGGAGGAATCTGACTGATAAAAGCTGTGGAGCTTACCAGGACAGATGTGGATAAATACGTCAAGTGAGTGACGAATCTGACTTTTTTTTTCTGCATTATCGGCTGTTGCGGGGGAACTCCATGCAGTGACGTATGTTTCGGGGAGGGGGGTTTCCCGAACTCGGCGCAGGGGTGTCGTAGGGACTATGAAAGGTCTGTGTGAAAACAACTGCTGAACAACCACGTGACCGCGCGTCGACCCGTCTGCGTCGGAGTGAATATGTTTCAGGCTTTAGACAGAGGCTGAGAAGTTCAGTTCTCCAGGAGAGACTCAGAAGGCCTTTATGAACTGCATGGACCGGCACGGCTTGGGTTCAAACCCAGGTTTGGCATTTTTGGGGTAGCCCTTATGGCCCAGGTCTACATCGATTTCTGGAACCTTAAGAGCTGTTGTTCCAGTCGAGCTGGCCTGATTTGACGTCAGTTACTGCTGCTCACTGATTGGTTCACTGACTGTGGAGTTTATGTCACACACATGAGAGTAACTTTACGTGAAGCATTTGCAGTGAATGTTTTCCACACAGGTTTAACTACACAACAATCGTAGCGAGCTACCAACAAGAAGAAGTTAATAAAAAGCTAACATTAACTTATTCTTCTCTATCATCCTGCCCTCTCATCTTAAGCTTCTTACTGCTGGATGGTCCGGTTCACCATTCAGCACTTTTCCTTCAAGTGTGGTGTAGTCCATTATTGTTTTGTCATAAATACAAATAAAGAAGATCGGACGTGTTTAATATTCTTATCCTGCTCACATCAAATGCAGCTCTATTAATCAAAACCCAACCCGGGCTGGAGTAGAGTAAGGCTGGGCCGAAGTGAGCTTTACTCTGCAAAAGCGCCTAGAGTAGAGCTGCTGCTTCTCCACATCCATTTGAGCTGATTCATCTGGTAAAGCAGACTTCTGGATATCTCTGAAGGTAAGTGTTCTGGACATGTCCAACTGTGAGGAGACCCCGGGAAAAACCCAGGACACCCAGGAGGGACTATGTTTCTTAGCTGGTCTGGAAACAACTTGGAATCCTCCTGGAAGAGGTGGCTGTAGAAAGAGAGGTCTGGGTTTCTCTAATTAAGCGGTTGTCCCAGAGACCTGACTCTGGAACAGATGATGGATGGATGGCAACAACTTAGGTTGTATTGGCATCTTGAAGAAGTCCTCATTTATTAAGGAATATTTTAACAACTATGCTTTGACTTCAGTAAGGGCCTAAAGGAAAGGTAAGTGTAGGTGCTGTACTAACTCCCCAAAATGGATATCAACCATATTCTTAAACAAGGTCTTTCCCATAAAGGTAAGAACATGTATGAAAATTAAATCTTGTGCTTCACCCTCATTGCAATAACATGACCCATTTCTTATTAAAGTATTTCTTTTATCAAAGCAAAGAAAGTTTATTAGGATGGTAACTTGTGCCTGTCTACTTGACTTTGAAACCTGTATCATTTTGCTGAAATGTAAATTCTGGTCAAGAAGAAATATCTGAGTATCAGTAACTAACCTTTAAATTGAGCCTGGGTTAGCTCAGAAATTGGAAGTTGGCAGAAAAGCTGGATCAGTAAATACTTTTGKAAAATGTACTCTTTGTCAATTGTAAACTCGTCAAAACGAATGAATGAATGAATGAAAATTTTTATTAAAGTGTCATGCACATTCATGCCCAGACCATACAGGCTTAGATGACAATATCAACATTAGAGAACTGGCTACACATTCATCAATATAAAGTATTAATTTAAACACAGGATACAGTGCAGTTTGTTTAACCACCCATGCCCTTTCTATAAATGTTACAAATGTAAGCATGTCCTTTTCAAACAGCCAACCCAAAATATCACCCTCAAACCACTGCAATAAATAAGGATTTTTACACTGGATCTTTTCAAACATGTACATTTTGAAATCATTATACAAAGAACAATAAAAAAAAATTAATTAATCTTAAACTACATTTAAATTGCACAATGCACACAAATGTTGCTCTTCCAAAACCCCTTTGTATCGCCCCATCTCAACTACAGGAGGCAGAACACCTCCTCTTGACTGCACAGAGAGACCTTTGTCTTCTTAAATTACATTTGTCATAAGGCTCTGTCTCAAAATTGTTTTTAAATTAACCATAACATCTCAGTTTTGCTTTATTAAGTACATTTAGTTTCTACTGCTCTTGTGCATTTGCAACAAAGTCTCCTTTAAAATTGTAATTTTAAATAAATTAATACAAAACAAAAACGGACTATGTATTGATTTTAAACAAAGTTATGTATGACATTTGTTCCAGGTAAAAAAGTTGTCTAGTAAGCCTATCCTCAGGCAGACACACATGGCGATTCCACAATCATATAATTTCTACTCTATGTTAAAGAGCCAGGGCTCCCACCCCATGTCACCCTCTATAGCAGCCCTAGTGGTGTACTCATAAACTCCTAGAAACCACCTCATGGCTCTACTCTGGATTATATTATACTCAGGTGCATCTCTTAAACCCTAGACACCTGCAGCACAAAATAACACAGAATTAACAATAGAGTCATACAATGTGGTAAATGCGGAGAAGCCCAGATCTGGATACAACTTAATCTTATTAATTACATTTTCTAGTGTTCTCCCTGCAGATTCAGACATTAACCTTTTACCTTCTGCAAATGTCATATTCTCATGAAAAGCAAAACCAAGATACTTGTAACCAGTAATTACAAATCACACATAATTATAATATTAAGCTTTATCTTTAGCTGGGACATCAGAGATTAAAGATGAGTGTCTCCACTGACAGCTGAGATTAAACATCAGGACAGGTCTGATGGTTTGGTCTCTGAGACCATAGATGAGGCAGCTCAGACATTTAGGAAGAATAGTTAAAAAAATGTACAAAAAAATCTGCATTTGTACAATTACAACCCCATCCAAATTTTTAAAGATAACTATAAGTAATGAGTTATGTATAGTTGAGGACATAGCTAGGCCCATCTGCACCAGATGCAGCAGTAGTGTTTTACGAGCCTTATTGGCTGAAGCTTTGTTTGTAGATACTGAGCGAGCTGCWACWATAATACCAGTATAGGTGAAAAGGACTGTTACACCTCCTAATGCAAACAGAAAATATGTGGAGACTTTGTCATAAAGATCAGACACCAGATCAACAAAGACACTTTCTTTTCCACATGAGTTTAGCATCTTTATGTGCGGCATATCAAGCAAACTGTAGGCAAACTTATGTAATATAATTAGTTGAATAATAACATTTAGCGAGCTAAAAGTCCAAACAATACAAATAACCACTCTTGTGTTTCTCATGGTGATGATGGTACTGTGCCTGAATGGATAGCACACTGCTACATATCTCTCTAGACACATAATCACCAGTGTAACTGGAGATATTCTGTGTGAAAGTGAGTAAAGTACTGTTAGAGCAGCACACACAGGAAACAATAGTGATATTTTAGTAAGAGACAGTAGAAACATTGACTGACTGTATACCAGTTGTAAAGTATCTGCCAAAAGAAGGTTAAACAGAAGTATGTAACGAGAAGTCTCCCTAAACACAGCTTTACTCCTCAAAGTGTACAATGTGGTCACATTGATG